TCCCTAAAAGTAAAAATTTAAAAAGTTAAAAAAACAATACACCTTCAGAATAATGTTAGACGGTATTAAGAGGAGGATGACGTTCTTATCGTTGGATTCTTTCTCTCCAACCATCCAGATCCCATAATCTTTCATGACCCAGTCACAAGCCATCCTTGATCCCCACAGCTGGAGTTAATCTCACTCCTTTTGAACACCCAGAGCACTTCACACTTGATCTGCAGCTGTTTAGATAGTTGTCTCATTTCCTTAAGGATTGTAAGCTCTTTGAGGACAGGGTCCATGACTAATTCATTTTTTTATCCCTCAGTATCACACCTGATAAATGCTCCATAAATCTCCGATGAATGAACTGCAACATAATTCTTCCACTATGTTAGGAGCCTGAGTCTATGTTGGGGCTGTAATCTCAGAGATAGGCAAAATAACGGGAACAGGTTCGGAACAGAATCATGAAACAAAATGATGGAAGAGTAAGAGAAACAGAACCTATATTTCAGGGTGAGATGAAGGTCAAAGAAACTCAGCCTAGAGAAGTGACTTTGGGAAGTAATATCAAGGAATCTTCAAACACATTAAAGAAATAATATTAAAAGAAGGCCTGAAGTTCTTTTACTGGAGCAAAACAAAACATTATTTAGATTTTAATGGGCAATATGAGTAAGCCTGCTGAAGATCTACCAGACAGTGATACCAGGGTGGTGTGATGCAGGGTTGAGGTCAATGCCATGCCCTTCCCATCCCTATAGGTATGAAAGTATGACAAGAAGGATTCTGGTAAATTGTTTTTGCAAAATTACTTGTGAAATGATTGCAAGCTTTTAAGTTTTAGGATTTCCCCCCCTCAGATGCTGAAGCCTGTTTTAAAGGAGAAGTGTGATTTAGCCCAGGAAAGAATGGCAGAGACTCAGCCTGGGATTTGGAAAGCAAAATGGGTCCAATCCACAGAGAGAGACAGCCTTTGATGTCCTGGTCCTGGGCTTAAGGACCAGACTCTTAAATCACGTGGCATTTACTGCCCTAGATTAAAAAACAAAACAAAAAACTTTTGTGGATCAATGTCTGTGGTTCAAAATGGCAAGTTTCCAAAATCAGTCTTAACTCTCCAAGGGTAACATTTGGAAGGCTCCCTGCGAGAACAGAGTGGAGCTCGTTTCTAGAAGGGGCAGCTTAATGATTTTTTACTCTCCCCACCCCAAAATCATTAAACAGTGTTTCTTTCCCAGAGCCCAAGTTCAAGCTGAGGGCAAAGGGAACTGAAGGAAGAAGCTGAAACTGCAGCTAAGATTAGGGAGTTGCCAAGGGCCTAATTTTAGGTCCTCGCTGCCCCAGCTGACGTCCTGCTCAGCTGGCTCAGTCCCGAGGACCACAAGCGTCTCCATAAGCTGGTGACTGAGTGAGAAAGAGTGTCTCTCTAGCCATCTGCAAAAGCAATTAGCTTGGTGTTGGTGTGTTTTGAGAGAGACTCCCAGTAATTTCTCCTTCAACAAATGTTTCTTCAGGTGTTCAAGAGTCAACAAGGGAAAATGTCAGCACTGGGCAGAAGTTCCCACATGCTTGCCATTCTAATAGTCACGCTTCTCCACTTCAGAGTGCTCTCCAAAAGGGAACCAATCCTGGAATTCCTGGATTTTCATGGCAAGTAACCCTCTGATTTCCTCTGGCCATAAGCTTACCGCCACAACCTAGAGAAAGTGTCGTTCAGCACTTCTCAGGCTTTGTGAAAACAGACATGGATGGATGGGAGCTATCTGGCATTTGGGGGAGTTTCCATCCACTCTTCCACGGGGGCTTAGGCTGTCCTTCCCCTCTTTTTTTTTTTTTTTTTTTTTTAATCCTCACCCGAGGATATTTTTCCATTTTTTGTACAGATAGAGTGGGAGGGAGAGAGAGGAAGGGAGAGAGAGAGAGAAACATCGATGTGAAGGGACACATCGAGTGGCTGCCACCCGCACGACCAACCAGGGCCGGGGACAAACTGCAACCGAAGTACGTGCCCTTAGCGGGAACTGAACCCGGGTCTCTCCGGACCGCAGGCCGACGCTCTAACCGCTGAGCCAAACTGGCCAGGGCTGTCCTTCCCCTCTTCACGTATTTCCCAGCGACTGGTTTCATGCTTAAGTTGTCGTCTTCAGAGGTAAAAGCTGGCATCTCCCAGATCAAAGGGGAAACAGAATATATTTTAAAGTGACAACTTTGTTATCTTACGACCAGAATAATAAAATGATATAAATATAAGCCCCTAAATCATTCCATAGTGAATTGTCACCAGAGAGCAAAATTTCTTGCATAATTACGGCAGGGAAACTCTCTTTACAAACCACTCACTAGAGTATGGCTTATTTTTGCACAATTCTTATGCCTGGGGCCACCCACCAGGGACGGGGATACAGATTCTGTGTCCCTACAGGTTGGGAAGTCCGATAACTGGCTGGTGTTCCCTGTCTGCAAAGGAGGCTCTTAATAAAGGCTCATGGCCACGGGCAATGAAAAAGTAGGCTGGTACTGCCAGGCCAAGGGAGTGTATCCCTTAGTGGACGTGCCCTTGGGAGGGCCACTGTTGTCAAGGTGCACAAACTGGCCCCAGCTGCTTCTCTCTCTTCCTCTGCTTTCTTTCCCATTTTCCTATAGATTTGCTTTCCCTGTCTACTTGTCTCAAGTTCCATCTGTCTGTCTGTCTGTAAACCTGTTTCAGCACCCCCTCACACACACACACACACACACACACGTCTCCTGCCCCCCTTCCCTGTCTCTTGGGCTGGCCCTTTCATCTTCTCCCTCGGGGACTTGAGATGTCGCTGCAGGAAGTGCTTGTCGGCCTAGGCAGCAGCAGCAGAGCCCTGTGGCTTTGACAAACCTCATTTAATTGGGAGGAAGCCAGGAGAATTTGAAAGAACTGAAACATCCACGAAACTCCTTTTATCAGGCATAATTTAAACTCTGCATGGAAAAACCCCTATATGTATAAAGAAAAGTCAACTTCCCTCCTGCTGTGAGCACTCTTCGTCTCCCCCCCAGCACAGGCAGACTCCTGCAAGATTCCATCTTTTCATTTTTCTAAAAGTGTCAAAGTAGATTTGGGTTCTGTGGCTGGGCGAACAGAGTAGGAATACAGATTGGTCTCCCTCTCACATCCGCATGCGCCCGGGCACACACACATGCAAGCAGAGCCCCTCTGTTGGTGGCTTTGCTTCAGATGGCCAGGAAAAATCAAAACTTAAGTTTCTAACAACACATCAGTTTGGACAGCCATGGTTTCTTCCTAATTACCCTTCGTCAGGCAAAAGCTGATGCCCAGAAAACTTTGAAGAGCCCAGCAGTTCTCTGTATGTAGAATAATAGATCCTGGAGGAGGACCAATGGGAGAAGTTTCTTTAAGTGGAGAGAGGGGAGTGTGAGTGTGTCTGCGTGCATGTGTGTGTGTGTGTGTACACCCAAGTGTGTACACTTGCCTGAAGTGGTAGTTAGAAGTCCAAAGCCCCAGAAAAGAAAGCTAAGAAGGAGAGATCCAGGGGCTCGGACTGGGAAGAGGGGAGGGGATGGCGATGAAGTGGAGGGTGAGGGACCAGGAGGGTACCAGTAAGAATTATAGGTCACCTGGAATGCTTTTTATTCCACTCAGATGCCAAACCATGTCCCTTCCCTCTTTTCAAATTCCATTCCAGATTCACCTCCAGTCTAATCCATCTCACTTGAGTTATTCTAATTCCTCCGAAGAATTGCCTTTAGCACACACATATTCTTTGAACATCTGCAGCTGATTATGCACAGACTATAGCTGGTTAGATATGATTTGTTCTAATATGTGTACGAGGGTGCCCTGTTTCCTCTTCCTCACCCTCTTTTCCTCCCACGCTGTAGGATCCTTGAGGTCAAGGATAAGCCTCTTTTCCCCCCCACAATTTTTATAGCACTTAATATGTTCTTGACACTTAATGGCAACTTAATAAATACTGATGACTGACTCTTCTCACAGGGTTAAGTAAGGCACATTAACCCTGGCTGTACAATTATGGTTATTTTGGGGGATCCTAAATGACTCACTTTAATAATAAAATACCTTGAGAAATCTCAAACTAAAAGCTCTGGACTGTTGCAGGACCATGTCCTGGATGTAGTGATGCTGTGTCTGCAAACCCTAGAGACCGGCCAGACCATATATCTAAGGATCTTGGGCAGAAGCTCCCCACCCCATCCCGGTATGTTCTTCCCAGTCTGAGCCCCTAGACCTTCCTTCTTAGTTTTCATCTGTCCAGCCGAGGACTTCTAAAAACTGTACAGTTGAATGGTGGGTGTTTTCAAAGAAACCCCACCGAAGGAGAGTCCCCTCTGAACAGCCCAGGTCATGACTGCACTGCCCACATCCTCCACGGCGCCCTTCCTGGCCACATTCTGAGAAACATGAGGAGGGCTCCAGCCACATGATCCCTCCGCAGATTTCAGATTTGGAGGATGACTTCAGGCCCAGGCAGCTAGGCTGATTTCAGGATAACTTGTGTTTCCCCATGGGCTTCCGGCCTGGGAGGATGCTCCCCTCCCCGTGGCACCCCACCCCGGCACTTCCCTTGGCAGCATCAGGTTACCAATCAAGACAGGCTCAGCTCTCCTCTCTGACATATCCATGTCACCTATCATCTTACTCTCTATGGAAAGACAGAAGGCGGTTATTAGAAACTTTGGTTTTGCTTCTCCAGGCAGATGCTAATGAAAGCAAACATCTCAGAGACAGCTTTCATCTCATCCGATTCTAAGTGCGAGTGTGTATATGGGGATGATTGGGTCCTTCCAGGGAGGTCTGTCACCTTAACCCACCAGAGCTTTTGAGTTGCAAAGAACCTCATGCAATGTTCAAGCAAGATTGGGTCCCATCTTGCTTCTCCCAGGCTAACTGATCTCTAAGCTCACTTCTGGTTGTAAATTCTATGACTCTCCAGAGCTCAGAGGAAACACTTAGACACCAAGACCGACAGGTAGACACACACTCACGCGCACACACTCACCATCGGGAAGCTGGTGCAGCTGAGACGGCAGGGAGCGGAAATAGTCATGACCCAGTGCCTCCTGGGCGGAGACGCGGTCTCTGGGAAAGCCTTTCAGCATTTGCGAGGCCAGGTCTTCAGCCTCAGGAATTCTGCCCAACCTGAAAAAGTGGAAGAGAAAAGAGTTTTCCAGAGATCTCCCTTCCGAAAAGTAAATGGGGAAAGAAGAAAAGTAAAGAAAAGAAGATGGCTGGAAGGGTGTTTCAAATAGAATTTTCCTGGAATTAGTAAAGTTGGTGGTAAATGGAAAAATAACCCCTACACTGAAACTCTTACCTGTCTTGTTACCAAGATGAAGGGAGGAAATCTCAGTATTCCATCATTCAGTGTCTCCCATCCCAGCCTCTATAGTGTCTCTGGCACCATGTATACATAAAGGACCCAGGATTATAATTACAGAAGCAGAAATATATAATTAAGGATTCTTCTTTGAGGAACACAGCAGCCTCTACCAAGCAGAAAAGCCTGTTTAGAAATACGCTCCAAGGGCAGCAAGCATAGACTCCTGGAAGGGGAAGAGGGAGAGAGGCAATTCTGGAGAGTAAAGCTTAGGTGGAAAACACCCTTATGTCCAGTTTTTCTGAAGCTCAGCTTCCAGGGTTATTAGCTAAGACCCTCTCTTGGTTCTCCCTGAGATGGAGCATAAAAAAAGAGATCATGAAGTGCTCAGTTACAGTAAGGACAGATCCTCAAGTTGACCTTATGTTGAATTATAAATCTGGAGATAAGTAAATCCATTAGTTGAGCAACTACTATTTGCTAGTAGGTGGTTGGCTCTGGGAAATACAAGCAAGACTCTTCCTTCTGGCAGTTTTGCCTAGTAGAGGAGTCAGACACTAGACAAATTATCATACAAATGCATAAGTACGACTGTGAAGAAAAGGGGCCAGATACCTGACTGAGAGTGGGAAGAGCTGGTCAGGGAAGGCTTCCCCGAGGAAGTGGCATTTGAGCTGAGAGCTAAGGAACTGGAGTAGGTGATGCAGACAGAGATCTGTGGTGCTCATACAGATCCTGGGGTGGGAGGGAGAAGTGAGTTTAAAGGACTAAGGGCCAGTTGGCTGGCCTGGACAGAGTGGAGCCAGATATGAAGCTAGGGATGGTGGCAGGGGCTAATCGTCCAGGCCTTGTGGGTCTTCATGTTTCTTATTTACTTATAATGTTTGAAAGTCTTTGCTAATCTGGTGCCAATCATTTAAACACACCTCTCTCTAGAGCCTACAGAAAGGTTTACAAGTGGGAAGCCACAAAATGGAAAACTGTGCAGATCCCAGGAGGCGATTAACCACAGGACTGATGCCTGATATTCAGAATTAAATTGATATTCAGAATTAATTGCATGGTCATGCAAATCCCCAACTAAGCAAAAATTGATGGGCTTATTTAATGTGAACTCTACACACCAACCTGAAGCAACAAAGAGCTGACACCCTCCTGCTCCTGTGATGCAGTGATGTTGAAAGCCCTGGCCTGGAGTCGTAATTTGTCTAATTTTTGCATACGATTTACATGAGAAACTTTTAGGTATCTAATTCCCATGACACAAAACTGTTTATACAGATAACTCTACCCTCAAACTCAGGAGTAACTGCTTTGTAGACTTAAAGATAAAAATTTGCAAATCCCAGTCCTTGCAAATTTCCAGGCCAGTTGGGAAACAAGGGAACGTAGGGCAGAGGCCTGCCCAGTAGCTAGTAGCCTGAAGAAGGGCTGGCAGGTATGGGAGCCCTACACAGACGTAGGTGTTCAGGGCTAATGAAATGGAGTTTGGAGTGGGAAAGCTGGTACAAATCATTAGAGCCTGGTGTCACCCTGGAAGGAGACACAGGGAAAATCTTGTGAACAAGTTGTCATTTGTTCACCCTCACTATAGGGTGGTGGGATGCCTGCCAAACTTGGGACCTGAACCCACCCTATGAATTTCCAGGGGTGGGTGGGTGGTCGGGTGGTTATGGTGAGGAGGGAGCAATACATCGATCAGCATCCACCTCCACACTCACCCAACTGGCGATTTAGTCTCTCTGCACACTCCCACCCATTGGCTCATAACAGTTGCATTGTTACAGAATTCCTCTATAGAAGAGGCTTAGGAGCTACAATCTGATTGGATAAGGAAAACAGGATCTGTTTTGAACTGGTGTTAGCATGGCACACATACTGTTTTCATTTAGACCCTGTTTATGTCAGATAGCTGGGGAAGCCTGGAGAAGCTGATGGAGCTTACTGGGAAAGTAGGCACACAAAGGAAGAACAGGCCACTCTTACCAGAAAATCAAAAGAAAGGAGAGTAGGTATTGATCGATGATATGAGGATTTCTTTTTTAGGACTTTTCACTTTAACTAACTAACCTTTCCCCTACCCTTCCCACAAGGTTGTATCAAGGCTTCTAATGGTGTTGGGATTTGCCTCAGTCCCACGGCCTCCAAACTGACTGCCACCACCCACCTCTCCTGCTCCTTAGTTGGCAGAGGCAGTGACCAGGGTAAAGTATACAAATGAAGGCTTTTCCTCCTGTAAGACAATTTCATGTTGGTTTTCCCCGTATAAGCCCACTCTGTGCACTCCTGATTATAAGCCTTGACTAGCAGCTTGGAACAGGGCCACTCGATCTGGACGAGCGTCCTGATCATCTCTTGTGATTGGCATATTGCATTCTCATTTGGGAGCTGAAAGAAGAGCCTGGGAATACAAATGTTGCTTCTTTCGGCGCAAAATGTTAATTATCTTCCATGTTTGTATGATTTTGCTTCTTTGTGCCATCTATAGTCTTGCTAACTATCAACTGCCTTTATTGTCACATTTCTACAATTTGAGACTCTCTCCAGCTCCTAGAAAAATTCTTCATTGGTTACAACCTCTATTTTGGATGTAAAAGTTGTCATGAAACATGAACACCACAAATTTTAAATTGGCTACTAGCACATTTCCATATATGTAAGCTAAATGCTAATTAATACTATTTCTTAGGCTCATGATGCTAACTCCAAACATGTCTGGAGTATCTTGCAGAGTTAAGAGAACCCACCTAGGCAATTAATGAGAGTCTGTTAGTAAAGGCAGAATCCTCTAGTGAAACTCTCCTTCTAGCAACAGTTCAAGAAGTGAGAAGTGTTCCATTGTTAATACAAACTTATCGTGGAACACTTAGAACACGCAGAGAAAATGCAGAGTTCTCTCTATCACTCTGAGATAACCCCCTTCACTCAAAGATAATCACGGTTGCTTTTGTGCTCGTTTTTCTTTAGTCCTTTATTTTTATGCTGATATATTTTTTGTTTTACCAAAAAAAAAACGGGATCATACTCTACATGCTGTCATAACCATCTTTTTCCACTTGCCTATCTTGATCATCTTCCGAGGACTCGGAACAGCTTTCTAGGACGTAATTGCAATGGCTGCACAGCATTCCATTATGTAGGCATATCATGATCTACAAAGCCAGACGCTTAGTGCAGTTGCTTTCCTTTTTTATTAGGGTGTGAGGGGCTACTATTAAAATCATGCTGTGACAAACAGCCTCAAAGAGAAATCTCTGTGTACTTGTGTGATGATTTTCTTAGATGATTCTGAGAATTGAAATTCCCAGGCTGAAGGATATACACCATGTTAAAGTTTTTGATTAAGGATGTCAGCTGGTTATACCAGTTTCCACTTCCACCAGCAACCCAGGAGAGTTCCTGTCTCTGTGTGCACGGAAAATAAATTCATGCCAGCAGGCCTGAATTGCCACAGGCCCCGTTGCTTATAAAAGTTGTAAAACAGCTTAAAATTGTAAATTGATCCTAAAAGATGTGCTGGGTGCGAGGACATCCATATTAAATTTTGGATGTGCAGAATAGAAACACAAACTATAAGGAAATAAAAATCAGGCTTTGTGGTTGTGTAAATCACCATCGACGAGCCCATCACTCCACTCTTCTAAAATCGGGGGGTTCTCAGGAACCCAAGGCAACAGCACAACCTGTCTCCGAGGACAAAAATCCCCCACTGCCATTGCTGCCATCAAGCTTGACAGTGGAAGGGCTTTATCTGTTTGTAGCACAGGCTGGTCATTGTCAGTTCAGCTGAGCTCTTTGTTGTTTTCCCCTAGACTGATAGAAAGAGAAAGGGGCAGGGATAGAGTGGGCACATTTTTTTTTCTTTCTTTCAATTTTTCAACTTGTTTTTATTGTGAAGTATTTTTAGGTTGATCGCAGTGTTGCAGGCATGATGCAGACAGTGATCTTGTATGTTTCATCAGCTCCCCTGAATGTTAACATTTTACCTAACCACAGGAAGATGATCAAAACTAAGAATTTATATCGGCACAATATTATTTACTAAGCTGAGGACTTTATTCAAATTTCTTCTTTTTTTTCAATAATGGCTTTTAGTTGTTGTTTCAGGAGAGTGGGTACTTTTTGTCAGTTTAGGATACCACCAATAAGAAATGTACCCAACACTAGGAAGAAACACATCAAAGAAACTATAATTTTCCAATCAGTCTAACAAGTGAGTGTGCACTTGCTAGGCCCAGTTGATGGGGTCACCGCCGAACCCCAGGCGAGGTCGCGGAGGGCATTTACAGCCCCGCATGGATCTGGTGCACCCCTGCTGAAATCTTGTAGGAAAGCCAGTGATACCTCAGCTGCTGTTCCCTCATCACCTTTACCCTCAACTGACAGACCGTGTACTAGATGAATCCTGGTTCTGTCGCTATAGGATAGCCACTACTCACATGTGGCTATTGAGACCTTGGAATTGGCTAGTGCAACTGAGCAATTGAATTTTAAATTTAATTTTAATTAATTTAAATGTAAAGAGCCACATATGGCTAGTGGCTACTGTACTAGATTGCACATCTCTGGACATTGCTTCTTTTTTTGTTTTGTTTTGTTTTATATTCACCTGAGGACATTTTTCCATTTTTTTGTTCAGATAGAGTAGGAGGGAGAGAGAGAGAGAGAGAAATATCAACATGAAAGGGACACATCGAGTGACTGCCACCCACACAACCCAACCAGGGCTGGGGACAAACCGCAACCGAGGTACATGCCCTTAGCGGGAACCGAACCCGGGTCTCTCTGGACCGCAGGCTGATGCTCTAACTGCTGAGCCAAACCGGCTAGGGCTGGACATTGCTTCCTGCTCTGAGGGTCTGAGCAAAAAGAAACCAGAAGTCCAAGCTAAGACAAAGGTATTGTTGCGAGCCAGGCATTGGGCAGCGGTGCTGTGTGTTGCGTGTCGGCAGAAAAGTCAGAGGGACATTTGACTCATTCAAGTCCTGCTCAGCCTTAGAAGGAAGGGCTGGTGGCACTTTCTTCTGCCATGCGACAGTGCCAGGCGCAGCAGCACAGGGTATTGAGGTGGTTTGTGGGTCTGGAGTTAAAAGGTGAGCCAATAGTGGAGTGCAAGCAAGCCACAGGGCAGTGCTAAAACACAAAAGTGTCTAGCTAGGGGTTAGGGGGCCCAACTATGCAGGCAAGAGAAAGTTTGCACATTTTGAAAGAAATTATAAACAGCAGTTCCCTGGAGCCTGTCTCCAAAACAACAGGGACGGTGCGTTTGAAAATAAGTGAGGAATGTGGAGACATCCTGGGAGCGGCGCCCCTCCCAATAAGAGGCCCCATGATAATTCATGGTTCTATATTCTGACCTAGTCTACTCTTTGTGCTCTGATAGTCATTCTACTTGAAGGTTTTCTGAAGCACACGAACACTAAGTCTGGAGAAACCAAACGAAATTTGGTTGGGTTAAACCCTGCCACATTTTCAGGGAAGAACAACATTCGAATGTTCGGTTGGGATCTCTTCCTCCTCTCCCCACCTGCGAGAGTGTGTTTTTCTTTGACATTTGAGCTCGTTCCCCCTGTCTCTGATGTTTTCCTCACTGCCCTTTTTGCCTCTTCACTGAAGCAAAAAGAACAGAGCCTCGGCTAATTACTCTCAGATCAAATAATACTGGTTATTGTAATTGGTCATTGTCCGAAAACACTGAGTTCTTCTTAGCCCTGAGGTTGCCTGGCACGGCTTAGTTAGCTAACTATTCCGGGAATGTCTCTATTATCTGTTTTACTTTGCAAAAGAAACTAGGGATTTGTTGAAAGCTGGTAATAAAAGTCTGCCGTGGTCTGAGCCGAGGCTGCGTAGAGAGGGCCTGGGAAAGCATGACCTCCATGAATCAAGCTGCCCCCACCCCCAGTAGCCACTCAGTGATGTTATTTGGTTTCTCTGTCAGAAAAGAACAAACCCACTAGGTCTTCTTGCAGGCCAACACTGTCTCATTTGCAGGGCCTCGGGCACGGTTGAGGGGCACAAAAACAATTTCAATGACTCAACTCGGTGAAAGTAAAATGGTTCACAGAGAAAAATCAACAGACTCACAGGTGCCTCTCTCAGAGGCATCTTGCTGGGGCACAGGGCCTGCAGATGGAGGTGCTCCGTGGACTGAGGTCCAGGGACATGTCCCTTGAAACCCTGCTGAAAGATAGGCTCTCCAAGGTGGTGCTTACCTGTTCCAGACATTCTGAAGGCTTTGAGGTTTAGGCAGCGGGAACCACTCTGAAAATAACACACAGACACATAAACAACAACAACAAAACCCCCCCACTAAAATCCTGTTTCCAAAAATATTGAAATCCTAAATGTTCTTCTTGGCTTGGAGTAAGAGAGAATTCAGGTATCAGGTAGGCAAAGTAAACGACGTTTAAGGCCTCTTATCACTATGACTATTTCACGATTCTGTGTAAGGTCACTATTATGGGCTGAATTGTGTCCCCTCAAAATTCATATCTTGAGGTCCTAACCCCAGGTACCTCAGGATTCGACCTTATATGGAAATAGGATCACTACAGATGTAAACAGTTAAGATGAAGTCATTAGGGTGGGCCTTCATCCAATACAATTGGTGTCCTCATAAAAAAAGACATGCAGGCAGACACGTACAGAGGAAGACAATGTGAAGAAACACCAGGAGAAGCCAGCCATCCACAAGACAGGCCTGGAACAGATCCTTCCCTCAGAGCTCCCAGAAAGAACCAACCCTGCCAGCACCTCAGATTCAGATCTGGCCTCCCAAACTGTGAGACAATACATTTCTGTGATTTAAGCAATCAGTTTGTGGTACTTGGTTATGGTAGCCCTAGCAAACTTAATATAGTCACAATATTCAGCAAACTCAACCAACATTTGTGTAGCATTTACTGTGTGCAGAGCATGTACCAAGTGCTGGGAGAATACAAAAGAAATCTCCCCACCCTCTCGGAGCTTATAATTCATTTGAGAGAATAAAGTTCACTCACATGAAAAGTCATGTGACAGATGATGGGGCAAAGTTTCAAAAGTGGTAAAAAGTAACAGGGCTAATTTTATATGTCACTTGAAGTAAAAAGAGAAGTAAATCCTGGCTCAAATGATCCAAAATGGATAATAAAATGTGTCATTTTCTTTGGGGCACTCCTTATAGCATTTACGTGTGGACACACGTGTTTCTATTATTCTTGGTATTGACACTATTTAGCCCAAAATAAAACCACCATAAAAGGGAACGTTTTCTCATTTATTCAGGAAATACTAATTGAATGCTGACTCTATGTACGGGCCATAGGGGAGCTACAGGGGATAGCAGCTGGTGCTCTTCATCAAACCTGTTTCCCACGCCCATGAGAAGAGCATTTCAACTCTCATTGAAAATTATGTTTTTGCCTTATACCTTTCATGGGCCTGAAATGTAATTGTTTTGGCTTTAAAAGATCTCTTCTTCTTGTCCCTGAAAGAATGGAATACAGCGAGACTGTTTACCCAACAAAGGATTTAATTGTAGTTGGGCAAAAATGATTTTGCTAATACTGACAAATTCATCTTTGTGTGAGCACAGAATGACCTGGAGACCGCTCACCAGTAGTAGTGGTTACAGGGATTTTCCCCTTTGTACTTCTAGGTTTATTTCATTAAATTTTTTAAAAAACAAAAATCACATCTTATTTTGAAACTTCAAAAGTAGTATCAATTAAAAATGGAGTGTATAGTGCCAAATGTTGTAGAGCGGAAGGAGTGGTTGAAGAAAGTGACTGAGCTGAGTTTTCAAGGTTTTGTGGTCCCAGGGATCCCAGGGGAGCACTGTGCGTACAGGTTATTGGCTCTGTTCAGATGACTGTGCCTAAACACAAAGAACCAGAGAAGGGAAGAATACCTGGCATTTGTGCCATGGCCGGTGTGGCTCAGCGGTTAGAGCATCAGCCCACGGACCAATGTGTCGTGGGTTCAGTTCCGGTCAAGGGCACATACCTCGGTTTCGATTCATCCCAGGCCCTGGTTGGGGTTGTGTGGGAGGCACCAATCCATATGTCTCTCTCACATCAATGTTTCTCTCTTCCCCTCCCTACTCTATCTGAAGATAAATGAAAATATCCTCGGGTGAGGATTTAAAAAAAATAAAAAATCTCCTCGTTCAGTTATATCCCAATTTCCAATCCACATAATGAAATCTACTTCAATCCTCTGCCATGTTTTGTTTTTCCCTACTTAGAGACCTACATGCTGTGTTTTTTGGCCTTTGGTATTTTAATACTACTCTAACTCCAGCATTGTTCTTGTGGAATATGGGTTTGGAACAAACTGAATTAGGGTCTGAACACCCAACCTAGGGTTTGAAACTACTGCTTGAGTCTCACTGAGACCGTAAGCAAGATCATTGTAACCATGGTCAGCCTGTTGCCTTGACTCAAGTTGGAGGTCATATTCTCTTCACAAGGATGAAGTGATTCCCTGAATTTGTTGATTCGTTGCAATAATGAATGTAAAGTACCTGCCCCAGAGCATTAAACAAAATAATTCCTGTTTGCTTCTATTCTTATTCTTCCTTTGAAAAGTGATGGGCAATGTAAACCATGTGTGGTTAGGACCCTGAACCTAGGTTTTGAATCCACACTGTGCCACTTACCAGCTGTGCAACCTGAGGGTGTTGAGTCCTCACTGGGCCTCAATTTTCCCATCTGCAGAAGGGGGATAATTATAGTTTTTACTGCACAAAGTTGCTGTGAGAATTAGGATAGTGAATGTAACATAAGTAATTCCTTATGCTGTGTCTCTGTTCTTTCTGTTTCTCTTGTCTGATGTATCATGCTTTTCTCTCTCCTCTCAGGTATTTCTACCTTACCGTCCTCCTTGGAAACCTTCTATAACTTGCTGTGGCATTCCAGTGAAATTCTAATGTGCCCCAAGCTCAAATTCCTATAAGCCTGGCTTAATTTCTTTTGAGTCCTTGTGTGGGCCAGAGGTGTATTTCTTACCTATGTGGTGTAGTAACATGAACCCCCAGCCCAAATCACCTTTCTGCCATTTATGAGCTTGGTAATTTGGGGTAAATTCATTAACTTCTGTGGTAAGTTTTCAAATCTGTAAAATGGGAATAATTTTCCCAGCTGTATGGGAGCCTTCGATAAGATGACACACTTGGTGTGTAGTAGCAGCTCAATAAATGTCGATCTTATTCCTTTATCTTTTTTTCTTCTTATTTTTACCACTCGTTTGGAGAGCTAGCATGGTCTAAAAGAGTGGTTCTCAAGCCAAGCTGCATGTTAGCTTCCATCATCTGGGAGAGTTTTGAAACGAAGGGAAGCCTCGGCTCCAACCCCCAGAGAGTCTGATTCACCAAGCCCGGGGAGGGCCCAGCATTGGTTCATTGTTATATTGTTGGTATTGTCTTTAATGGCCTGCAGATGTCTCCAGTGTGGCACAAAGTGAGGCAGAGGAGGGTGGCCTAGCAAGGAGGGCAGGGTTGACCACTCACTGGCGACTCCCACACACTTCTCTGAGGCTCATTTCCTCAAGTGAGCTTGTTGGAAGAATTCAATTAATCAATGTATATAAAAATTGCAGAATACAGTGTCTGACACATATAATGTGTTTTTCAAGGATGGGAAAGAGGAAGCCTGATAAGGGAAACATCAGTTCCCATAAATTCTACCAGTAAAGGATGATCTGTAAGAGTTGCACCAGGAGGAAATGTAATAACATTGGATTTGAGGTTCCATGTCTTGCATAGACTGTGCCTGACTCTCTTTTCTATTTTGTAGATCTATTTTGTAGCTACATTAGCTGAGGGAGAGGGGTTGATGTGTCCAGGGTCAATCAGGTTGCTGTTATGCAGCCCAGCCAAAGCTAATGCCTGTTTGTGGCCTGCCTTCCCACGCCTATGCAGATAACATGATGTTGAATGACCTTGCCTCTCTCCCATTGATTTCCCCCCGGTAGTTAAGCTTACAAGCGATCAATGAGAGAATGATCCACAAACAGATAGGCATTGTACACACCACCATTTCAAGAACGGTCTGTTTCTCTGGCTTAAGTAGTCTCTAAAAATCATAGGTCTGTAGGCAGCTTATTTCCCTTCTACCAAAGATGATAGTAAATCATTAGATCAAAATTTTCTCCATTTTCTCCTTCTGCAGGTCTCTTTAAAAGAGTTCTCATTGGAGTTCAATTGGTATTCGATATAAGAAAAGCCAAGTAAACTGCAAAAGGAAACTTAAAAAGCTGAACATTTGCCCTGGCTGTTTTGGCTCAGTGATTAGAGTGTCAAACTGCGGACTGAATGGTTGCAGGTTTGATTCCTAGTCAAGGGCATGTACCTGGGTTGCAGGTTCGATCCCAGGCCCCTGGGGTCATACAGGAGGCAACCAATCAATGTGTTTCCCTCACATCGATGTTTCTCTCTTCCCTCCTTCCCTCCCTTCCACTCTATCTAAAAATCAATGGAAAAATATCCTTGGGTGAGGATTAACAACAATAACAAAAACTGAACAATTTAAGTTTCCCAACTAAATAGAATAAAATTAAAATGATGGCAGAATTGTTATCATACTCAAATAATGCATTTTCCCATAAATATTTCAGATACCTCATTTCAAGAACAGTGACCTTAGTCAACAGAGATTTGTTGGATGATTGATAAAATATCACCAGGACCATTTTGAGTCTTACTTCAAGGTAAAACATTTTCTAGTTACTATAGTCTTGCCACAGTCACCCTAAGGTTATCTTATAGTGCTGTCTACTGCACTACACCTCTGGAATTTCCCGAATACAATGCATTCTTGAGATGCTATCTATGTGAATAGTTGATAATGCTGTCAGCCTTATTTCGCTATCTTTATCCTCACCCGAGGACATTTTTTTTTTTTTTTTTTTGCATTTCTCTTCAGACTAGACAGAGGGAGAGGGGGGAAGAGAAAGACAGAAATATGAATGTGAGAGAGACATATCGACTGTTTGCCACCCACATGACCCCAACCGGAGCCAGGGACAAACTGCAACCGAGGTACGTGCCCTTAGCGGGAACCGAACCCAGGACTCTCTGATCCACAGGCCAATGCTCTAACCTCTGAGCCAAACTGGCCAGGGCTTAACTATCTTTAGCAGTAACTTTAAAACTGCACCACAAAATCTGTAGCTCTTCTGTCTCTGCCACCCTCCTCCCCCCCCACACACACACATACATGTATCCACACCCTCCAGGCTACTTGCTTCCCTCTTCCTCAGGTATCTGGCTTGGAAATTTC